CTTCCCGGAAGCTCCCGAGAATAGGTGGTGCCGTCGCTGCAGCGCGGCGGAGGCGGCGAGCTGCACGCCGCCGCGGCGCGGGGGCTGGTGGAGCGGGTCGTCGCTATCCTCGATGCAGACCCGCAGGCGGCGCCGCACTGGCGATAGATAGACGGGCAGTCTGCACCGCGATAGAATGAGAGTTGGACGGCCACACTGCGATAGACAGGTAGACGGACAGACAGGACTGCGATAGATGAAGACAGAAAGATAGATGGACAGTCTGGGCCCGTGTTAGGCGGTGCACGCTGCGACCGGCGAGGGCATGACGGCACTGATGGCGGCGGCGGCGACGGGGCAAGCGAAGGTGCTCGAGGTGCTGCTCGAGGCGGGCGCGGACCCGCAGGCGTCTGGCAATAACGGCGCATCCGCATCTCCCCCACATCTCCCCCACATCTCCCCACATCTCCCCCCAGGCGTCCGGCAATAACGGCGCATCCGCGCTGCACATCGCTGCCTCGCTTGGCCAGATGCAGGCTGTCGAGGCGCTGCTGGCGAGCGGGTGCGTCTCACACACACACACACACACACACACACACACACACACACACACACACACACACACACACACACACACACACACACACACACACATTCCGCCGCGTACGCGATCAGTGAGGCGCTGCTGGCGAGCAGGTCGACTACCCACATCTCCCCATCTCTCCCCCATCTCTCCCCCATCTCTCCCCCATCTCTCCCCCATCTCTCCCCCATCTCTCCCCCATCTCTCCCCCAGGTCGACTGAGGTCGACTACCCGCACCACTTCGCGAGGACGACGGCGCTGCACTTTGCCGCGGAGATGGGGCACGCGGGCGTTGTGCAGGCCGTCTGCGCCGCCCAACAATTCAATACTCTGAACTCTGAACCATTATTGGTTATTATTATTATGAGTAAGACGCGCTGGCCCTCTGCGCCGCCGGGGCAGAGATGTAGACTATGTACACTATGTTGTGTTGTGTTGTGCAGGCCCTCTGCGCCGCCGGGGCAGACTCGAACGCGCGCAAGAGCACCGGCAAGACCCCGCCGCACAGCGCTGCCGACTACGATCAAGACTCTCAAGAGAACACCGACAAGAGGCACAAGCGTAGGCGGGACCCCTCTGCACACGGCGGCAGACTGCGACCAGCCCGCCGCAGTCGCAGCGCTGCTCGCCCCTCCGTGCGCCGCCGACCATACTCTCCTCCTGAACGGCGGCACGACGCCGCTCTACCTCGTGCGTGCGGTTCCTTGTCTGATGGGCTATGATTAGTCACCAGGCGACACGACGCCGCTCTACCTGGCGGCGCAGCGGGGCTGGACTCGCGCGGCGGAGGAGCTGCTGACTCGTGGTGCCGACCCGAACTTAGTGATGCGGTCCGGCACCTTCTCGACCGCCGTGTCCGCCTAACACTTCACAATAGTTAAGCATTCGTGGACATTCTTAGGTCCGGCACCTTCTCGACCGCCGTGTCCGCCTAACACTTCACAATAGTTAAGCATTCGTGGACATTCTTAGGTCCGGCACCTTCTCGACCGCCGTGTCCGCCTAACACTTCACAATAGTTAAGCATTCGTGGACATTCTTAGGTCCGGCACCTTCTCGACCGCCGTGTCCGCCTAACATTTCACAATAGTTAAGCATTCGTGGACATTCTTAGGTCCGGCACCTTCTCGTCCGCCGTGTCTGTCCCGGGCGCGGCCGAGCCGCTCGCCTCAGGCGGCTTCTACGCCGCCAGGAACAGCAGCTGAGCGGGCGAACGGCGGGTGGGTGAGTCTCCAAGTCCTCACGGACTCGTTGGCAATGGCGATTAGGAACACGGAGCGGGCGAACGGCGCGACCGCGCTGCACGTGGCGGTGGAGAACGGGCACTACGCGACGGCGGAGTTGTTGCTCGAGCACGGCGCGCTGCAGCTCGGCTCTGAAGGGCAGACGGCACGCCCGTGATGTAGAGTGCTCACTGGAGCGCACTCCCCAGGCGCGCTGCAGCTCAACTCGATGGAGGGGACAACGCCGCTCATCACCGCGCTCCAGTACAAGCACCCGCACATCGCCGCGCGCCTCCTGGCGGCAGACCCGCCCCCCGACCTCACGGCTCGCGTGCCAGTCGACGGAGCGAGCGCGCTCTTCGTCGCCAGCGGCGAGGGGTACACGGATCTCGTGCGGGAGATGCTGCGGCTCGGGGCGCCGCCTGACCTTCCAAACAAGCACGGCGCCACCCCCCTCTCGCACGCCGCCTTGCGAGGCCACCTGCCGGTGTTGCGCTTGCTGCTCTCCGCCGGCGCGAGGGCGGACGGGGCCGCCGAGGGCGCCTCCGCCGCACTGGCGCCGCTGCACGCCGCCGTGTCGCGCGAAGGCAGGCTGCGGGGCAGAGGGCTCGCAGAGGCGGTGGCGGCGCTGCTGGCGGCGGGCGCGCCCTCCGACGCCCTCGCCTTGGGCGGGGCGTCGGAGCGGGGGGAGGTTGCCGCCGTGAGGCTGCTCCTCGCCGCCGCCGAGCCGGGCATCGCCAACCAGCCAGGGGGGCGGTCGGGCGCGACTGCGCTGATGAAGGGGTGCGCGGCCGGTAGCGCAGAGGATGGTTGCTAATGAGCAATGAGTAGCTGTTCCAACAGCAATGAGTACCTGCTCCTTTTCATTAGGTCCGTGGCCGGCAGCGCAGAGGTGGTTGCAGCATTGCTCGACGGGGGCGCGTCGGTCAACGCGACCGCTGGCGCTGCGATGAGCGGCGCCACGGCCCTCTACCTCGCTGCGCAGTACGGCCACGCCCACATCTGCCGGCTGCTGCTGCAGCGAGGGGCGTGGGCGACGTGAGCAGCGCCTCTTCACGGGCTGCGGCTGTGAACAGGCTGCTGCTGCGGCGAGGGGCGTGGGTGGACGCGCCGATCGCCGAGCTCCACGTCACCCCGCTCTTCGTCGCCGCCGAGCGAGGCGCTGTCGACGCGCTGGAGGCGGTCGGCAGCCTGCGCAGTAGCCTGTAGCTGGAGCCTGGGGCATCGTGACTATTCCCC